ATCAAATTGTTCTTTAATGGCTCTATACAGGTGTAAAGTAAGAAAAGTGTAAATTTGTTTAGAGCCAGTAAAGAAAGGTGTAATTAAGGTTATTATTAATCTTATTGTAACGTAATATAATAATAACTACTGATTATTTTGCTCGCTTACGCTCTTGCACTATAAACCCTATATTTCTTTCTTTATATTTTACTACAATGTAGATCATTAACTTTATGTACAACCATATTACACGAAGGCACATCGACATTACTGGATATACACTAGAGTAGCATTTAATAGCAATTTCTTTCTACACTTGACTATCACAAAACTTGAACTTAAACAAGTCTGAACTGTGTGATAGCTGGCACAAGACTGAGAGTTATCTGTCATATCACCATTGGCACAAAACTGAGAGTTATCTGTCTTATCACCATTGGCACAAGACTGAGAGTTACCTGTCGTATCATCATTGACACAAGTCTGACAGTTATCTGTCGTATCACCATTGGCACAAGACTGAAGAATATTTATAATATCATCATTGGAACAAGACCAGAAGATCTCTAAAAATATTACAATTGCCACAAGACTAAAGGTTCTTTATATGACATCATTAATGGTACAAGACTGGGGGTTCTTAATATGGTATAATTAATGGTACAAAACTAAAGGTTCTTTATATAGTATCATTAATGACACAAGACTCAGAGTCCTTTATAGTGTGACATTGGGCACAAAATAGGGATATTTCTACAGTATCACTATTGACACAAAATTGAGAGTTATTTAGAGTACCACCATTGGCGCAAAACTACGAGTTGATTACAGTACCACCATTATCACAAGACTCAGAATTAACTACAGTTTAAGAATTAGCGCAAGACTGGGATTTTTTATAATATCACCTTTGACACAAGACAAAGAGTTATCTACCATATCGCATTTGGCACCAGATTGAGTTATTTTCACTATGATCATTGACACAGGATGATAGTTATTTACGCTGTCGATATTGATACAAGGCTGAGCGTTATTTACACTATCACCATTGGCATAAGGTTGAGAGGTAGTTACACTTTCACAATTGGCACAGGTTGAGAGTTATTTACACTCTCACCATTCACACAGAGCTGAGCGTTATTTACACTTTCACCATTGGCACACAGTTGAAAGGTGTTTACAATATCACAATTGGCAAAGGCTGAGAGTTATTAAAACTGTCACCATTCACGCATGGATGAGCGTTATTTACACTGCCACCATTGGCACAGGGCTGAGAGTTATTACATTGTCACCATTGGCACAGCCCTGAGAGTTTTTTACACTGTCAACATTGGTATAGGGCTGAGAGTTAATTACCTTGAGAATTCCTATAGTGTTACCTTTGGCACAGGACTGAGAGTTATTAATAGTATCACCATTGACGCATTGCAAGTAAAATCATAGAACAAGGAAGTCGTGTTTCTCTAGCTTCAGTCAAGCGCTTAAAACATTGCCAAATAACCAATGATGGTACAAGGCCGGCGAACCCCATACAATTGTATCAATCTCCAATAATTGGTCTAAAGTGCTAATTATGAGTTGTTAAAAATAACTAGAGTCAGGAAATGTTAAGTAACTTTTTAATATCATAAAAAGCCAATTGTAGAAGTAAATATTTTACAGTCAGAATTATTTGATTTGCGGTAATTGAGATTGTGAAAAACAAGTTCAAATTTTAATTTTTTGCTCATGTTGGGCTGTTCATTTAATGCAAACTCGTGTCATATTTGTATCTACCAATATAGCAGTAATACGTTTCTGCATGTAACGTACATAAAATGCAATATATTTTATATCTATTCAATTCAAAATACGTTTTGCCCTGATGAGCAACTATTTCATTGTCAGTTTTATTAATAATAAGCATATAGATCTAGGTAAGAATCGAATTTTCCGCATTTCTGATGGAAATCGTTGACCCATTTTAAGGCTTTTTTATAGATACAGAAAATTTTAGTCACTCTGAAATATGTAACCATTTTTATGACTTATTTTGTAACACATTTTATTTTGAATGTTTGTATTTTGGATTTTTTCTCAGGTCTAATGATCTATATATCATAGAGATACTACTTTAGAGAAATTGTGGTCTAAGAATATTTTCAGTAATTTGAAATAGTTTATCCCCGATACGTCCTCTAGTGGTACAGCTGTATCTCTGCGGACTTACAACACTAGAAACCGGGTTTCAATAACCGTTGTGAGCAGAGCACAGATAGCCCTTTGTGTAGTTTTGTGGTTAATTTCAAACAAACATTGTATCCCTGATACAAAAACAAGACAATACATATACAGTAAATTACAAACTACACTTTTGTCGTATTATTTATGTATGTTTTAACATTTAAATCGGTTTTTTATATAAGTTCAGCAGAAATATC